ATATTTCAAGAAGGGAGGTAGAAGGGTGCGCGGTGGATGTTGAGACTCACCAATAGAAAATTAAATTTGATCTTTTAATCTGTCAAAAAGGGAGGTAGAAGGGTGTGCGGCGAACGTTGAGACTCACCAACGGAAAATTAAATAATCAAGAAGGGCGGTAGAAGAGTGCACGACGGACGTTGAGACTCACCAACAGAAAATTAAATTTGATCTTTTGATCTGTCAAGAAGGGGGATAAAAAGGTGCGCGATAGATGTTAAGACTCACCAACAGAAAAATAAATTATCAAGAAGAGTGGGTAGAAGGGCACGCGGCGGACGCTGAAACTCACTAACAGAAAATTAAATTATCAAGAAGGGTGGTAGAAGGGTGCGCGGCGGACGCTAAGACTCACCAACAAGAAATTAAGTTTGATCTTTTGATCTGTTAAGAAAGGGGCAGAAGGGTGCGCGGTGAACGTTGAGACTCACAAACAGAAAATTAAATTATCAAGAAGGGAGGTAGAAGGGTGTGCCGCGGACGCTGAAACTCACAAACAAGAAATTAAATTTGATCTTTTGATCTGTCAAGAAGGGAGGTAGAAGGGTGCGCGGTGGACGCTGAGACTCACAAACAAGAAATTAAATTTGATTGTCAAGAAGAGGGGTAGAAGGGTGCGTGGTGGACGTTGAGACTCACCAACAGGAAATTAAGTTTGATTTGTCAAGAAATAACAGATTGGTGAGTTAAAACCCGACCCAACAAAATAAAATGGTCAGTGGGATAAAATTCGAGTCTGTTGTGGTTAGTGGGATACGACCCTAGTCTAACAAGATAAAACGGTTTTGAAATAACTTTTGAAATCACAATTTTTCAAAATTTGCCCCAATGTAGGGCCTCCTTTTTTTTTCAAAGCATATTTGAAATGCATTTCCAAAATTAGAGCTCACTCTTTTTTATATTTGCCTCAGTGTAAATCATGTTTAACAAATGCCACATTTTTCATATTTTCGAGCAGGCAGAAAGACTGATCACATAATATCACCACCATATAATCCCTTATGATCTCTTTGGCCTTGATAACCATGCAAGTGTGATCTTTCGATGTCAAAACTGCTCCCCAAGAGTTGTGCTGCAACTTGTGTTGAATCTTCTCAATTTTCTAACATCAGTCAGTCATACTTTGCTTTGTATCACAAATCAACTTTTTCTAATGACCAGATTTGAAGGAATGCCCGTTTCAAGTTTCAACACTCTATTTTTCGTTCATGATTCTCTTGTGCTCCAAAACCTTACATTGATGATCTTAACCTTTCGAATTTTCACTAAGGTTACCTATCTTTTTCTTTTTCTTTTGCTTTCATTTTCTATTATTTTTCTTTTTCTCTTTTTTTTTATCTTTTTCCTTTTTTTTGAAAAAACGTCCTTTCGGATTTTCACTTAATGAACAAATCTTGTCGACAACTTTTATTAACTCGAAAATGTGTTTTAAGAAATGATGGCATCAATGCGACAATCTTTCCCATGCAAAAATTGGCGAAGATGTATTGACATCATTTGCCATTTAATTAAGCGATTTTTATTAGAAATACTACAAAAACGGAGGTCGGGACTTTATGATTTTTATGATGGGGTCAGGTGGAGTGTAGAAGAAATGTTAAGGCTTGAAAACAAATCTTCAAAGAGGTTTCAAAAACCCTAAAACTGCGTTCTATCAATATTTGCCCCAGTATGAGGGTATTAAAACTGAAAAAATTACCCCAACTTGGCTTTTGACTCTTTTTCTTTTCTTTCTTCTCTTTTTTTTCTTTTTTTATAACAAATAGGAGATAAGTTTTGCCCCCATGTGGGGTTTGCGATCTTTAGGGGGCTATCAAACGAATGATTAAATTATTCTAAAGGTTCAAAGGAAAAAACTAGGGATAGGATGTTCAAAGGAAAACGAAGAAGGCCGCCTTTAATTCACCCTAGATGGTATCTCAAAAACAAGAATGATTAAATTATTCTGAAGGTTCAAAGGAAAAAACTAGGGATAGGATGTTCAAAGGAAAACGAAGAAGGCCGCCTTTAATCCACCCTAGATGGTATCTCAAAAACAAAAATCACATAATCAGATGAAAAATTTCTTACACATATCTGAATTGATTGGTTGAGAAAAAACCTGTCCATCCATTTTTGTGAGAATGAGCATTCCTCCGGATAACACTCTTTGAACAATAAATGGTCCTTGCCAAGTTAGAGCAAACATGTCCTTTAACCTCCTGTTGAATCGGAAAAATTCGCTTCAAAACTTTATCCCTTACTGCATATTTGTCTTTCTTGTCATAACCAACAAACCATCCTTTGTTGATAGCATTGTCCATGGCAGGTAACATTCAACCTCTTTTTCATCCATTGGAGACAACAACTCATTGCGCTCCTTGATCCATTTAATTTCTTCTACCCGAGCCTTCGCAAAATATGCAAGGACGGGATCTCAATGTTGTCAGGTATTATGACTTCCATTCAAAGCATAAGATGTTGCCCTAACTTAGAAATGTAATCTCCAAGTGAAATGTTCCCAAAGTTCAATAGCAAAAATTTTCAAAATTGAAGGAAGAACTCTTTTTTTTCTTTTTTTCTTTTTTGCTGCTGAAGTATGTACTCCTTCTGAATAAATAGCCGATCCTCCACTTTGCAATGTAGTATTATTGCCACCTTTTTTATTCGTGATTACCCTCCCAATTTGCAAGATTTTGACTTGCATCTTTTTCTCGATCTTAACCATAAATACCTGCACAACGGGGATTTTTCAAAACACTTGAATTTTTCAAAATTCTTCTTTTTTTTTTACCAATGATATAACAATTAAGGTTCATGCAAAGTGTTGACTTATCAAAACTTGAAAAATATATACTTGACCTTGGACATACCCTACAAATGTATTATAAAATTTTGCCTCAATTTGAACTTATTTGGTGAAATCTCACAAATATATTACAAAAAAATTGCCCGAGTTTGGGCTGATTTTAGTTGCAAAATAATCACATGCAATGTGAATAGAAACTACATTTTTCAAATGAAGAATTTAAATGTCATATCCAAATTCATATAGAAGATTCCATGATAAATCTCTCAAAATAAGACCAAATTGTAAAAGATCTCTTCCTCATTTTGGGATCGGTGTTTAAAGAAAGTGGTCACTTTTCTTATTAGCTCATCCTTTAGGATCGAACAAATGGGTATTATTCCTAATTTTGAGGTGGCTCAGGAAGAAATGATAAGTCAGGATCTGTCTTATTTTTGTGCCCAAATTGTATCTAACACATTCAATATCACATGTTGGTGAAAGCAAATAGTTTATCACTCTTATTTCTTGAGAAAATTCAGTCAACATATAAGCTCTATAAGCTTGTAATATATGGATAGAAACGATAGATAAATATATAAAAACAGGTTATGGTCTTATGATATAGACATGATCGTTATTTCAAATTATCATGAAAGATAAGTCAGCGATGGACTTTATGAGCTTGTAATATGGTTTGACAACGATAGCTAAAAGAAATAAAATTTTGAAGAACAATGCACTTAACATCACATTTCTTCCCAAAAATTGCCCTAGTTTTGGACTTAAAATCTAGGACCCCATTTTGACTCCTTTTTTTTTTATCAATCACTAGAGAGAATTCAGCATTGGATGTCTTTGCATTTTTCTTTTCATTTCATCATTTTTTTCACATTTTTCTTTGTTTCTCTCTCCCTCTCTCTTTTTTCTTTTTTTTACCAATACTGAGATCCCAAATGTCAATGATAGAATTGAAAACTTCCTAATTTTGGAATATAGATGGGCCCTCTTTCTTTCCGATATTGAAGACCAAATATCAATGGCAGAGTCAAATTCCCCCTACTTGTAGTTTTCCTCTTTTTTTTTTTTTTTTCAAATCTCCTTCCCCAGTGTGAGTGTAACAGCCCCACTTTCCCCTAAGGCGAACCAAAGGGGTGAGCGGACTGCCTGCCCAGCTCTCGCCAGGACTCACGATGCAGACTAGAACTATCTATAGCGATCCGGAACTTACGAACGAGCGTAAACGAGTCAAAATGGTAAAATAACCCAAAATAAAAAAATGAAATCCGGAGTCGGCCATGAATAGTGACCGACCCGTCAGAACCCAACCGAAATAGCCAACAAACATTCACATCTGAACTTTAGCGTTTACAAATCAAAATGACATACAAAAGTTTTCAAATTTGCCAAATCAAAAGAGAAAACTCCCCAAAAGTACACTTAGGGTTTTAGTACATGAGCTATACAAAAGATATGTTCAACTAGCTCAATTTGGCAGCCATTTGTCAAATCCAGACCAAAAGGGTTTATTTTCCTATAAGGAAAACAAAAGGAACAGAAAGGGGTGAGCTTGCGCTCAATGAGATACCAAACAGATAGCATTAAAATCATGGCATTTCACATTTAACAAATCAGGTACACATGTCAGAGGTAAAGCAAAAGAACCAATGATTCAAATCAGAAGGATACGGGTGGCTCTCAGGAGCCAAATTTCCCAGCGCAGTACTTGATCCAAACCGGTTGACTCTCCGTCAACGTATATAGAACCAACGCGTCCGTAGACCCCTCTTTACACCGAATTCCGTCCACCAAACACCCCTTTACCGGGCCCGCTCACCGTAACCGAACAGAAATAGTAATACTCGAGTATACCCGGAATCAAGGGTCTCAATACCCAAAATCCCGAACAGACTACCGTGGTTCGTTATCTAATCGTCCAGGCCTTGCCGGCCCGACTCGAATAACTTAGCCACAGGATTGAGCTCATAGGTCATAGAAATCCGAACAGATGCAGACACAGATAACAGATTCAAATTTTGCATAGTAAATTGGCATATGAACAGACTAGAGAACGAGTGTGATAAAGTACACCCTCGTCTCGAACAAATAAACAGATTGCAGAGCAGAAATCAAGTTAAACAGATTGCAGAGCAGAAATCAAGTTAAACAGCAATGGAGGGGAGTGGTACACTCACCGGCTTAACTTCAAAAGTTTTCACTTCAGATTGGCCTTAATCGCCAAGAAACCCTAAAATAATCAAAATAAATCAATTGAAGGTTTTACTTCCAGAATCGAGTAAACACAATGCACATGAGGCTCGACTACTAGTCGTATGCCTCGCCAAAATAATTACTAATGCAAGGGTGGAAAACATGATTTTCTTGGAAACAAAAAGGTAACATGAAGACTTAGGCGCAAACAACCCAAAAGCCTTTCATTTCCACCAAAAGGCAAATCTACTTAAAGAAACCAAACGGCCTAGAAAATCGGGCAGCACCGTCCCTAAAATTCTTACTTTTCCAACCATTAAGGCTTCATTATTTCCTCAAATCAGTCCCAACATTTCACACAAAAGTCATCTCATTTCCCAAAAGCCGCTCACTAGGCTCAAAGTAGTACAAGTACAAAAGTTAGTTAGGAAAAGACCGGAATGAGAGCGAGCCCTAAACATGCAAACAAAAACATGGAGACTCGATAACGAGTCATAAAACCATACCAATCTTAACCCTAATAGGGTTTCATATGCATAAATAAGCATCATAGGCAACCAGAAATTAAGAAAGGGCTTTAATGTAGGCCTTGATAAGAAAACCGGTTTTGACGTCATAATGCGGTAATGGCACAACTCTCACTACAATTATCGGTTAGGGGTGTAAGACCCACCATTTCGAAGCTATGAAACAGGGCTACAACAATGTAGAAGGTCACTCAATCCAGTTCCTAACACAACTAGGTCAAATATGCAAAATACTATACCAGAATTCCCAAAACAGGTTTGCAAATTACACAAAACTGTAATTACTATAACTCAGTCTATACAAGTCCAAATGCCGAAATTCCAAAGGCATATGATAGCTAAGACATCCAGTAACATTTCATCAGAAGACACCAACTTCAAAATCCAAACCAAATCCAGTCAAAATAGGCAATTACTATCGCAGTTCCGCACATTCTGTTCACCAAAAACAGCAACAGTAAAAACGGCATAACTCTCTCTATACTACTCCAAATGCCCTGAAATTTTGCAGGCACTTCATACTCACCAATACCTACAACTTTCATGTTTTGAGAAAAGTCCAATTCGGCCGCTAGCTATGACCTAAAATTTCGGACAGAATAAGGGTTCATGAACCCTAACTTTTCACAATTCACTTCAAATCCAAAATTGGTTGCATTTATCAACAATTCACACCCACTAGAGCCAAAGCCCCTTATTACCAACCATCATACTAGTCCACAACATCAAAATCATATGAAACCAGAAAATTCATCATAAAATGGAAAACTTCACCAAAACTCTTCAAATCAAGAAATAAATCACATATTCCAACACTCAAGCCACTTCTAAGCATACTATAACCATCATTAGATGTAGTAGAGGTTCAAGCATCACTTACCAAGTATCAAGAGATGTAGAGAGGTGTTGGTCATCTTAGAGCTTCAAACAAACTTCACTAATACCCTTACTATCACTAGAAGGAAAGATTGTATGGAGTAAAAACTAAGTTAAACACTTGATTTGGTGGATTTGGACAAGTTGGAAGCTTGAAATGTTGAAGAATTTTCTTCCTTCTTGCAAGTGAGAGGTTCGGCCACAATGAGAAGAAAAATGGTGAATTTTGTGATTTTTTTGAGATATATAATCCTTTGGTCAAAAAAGTCAAAAATGTGAATAGTATTTCTTAAGTCAACTCCAATGATCTTGTGACACTTGTCACTATCATAAATGCATTCCTATCCTTTCTTTTCTCTCTCTCATCAATCAAATCTCACTCTCTACTTATCTCTTAACACCCGATAAATTTTTCACAGTATCCGAAACTTAACCTTATTGGCCGAATTTTTTCGAACTTTTCGCACTAGTGGGTCCCACATCCAATAGATAATCTTAATTTTCTAAAAATTCACCAATGCTAGAAAAAACATCTAAAAACTATAATTGCTCATAAAATTCACCAGGAAAATATTTCTAGCCAGAAAATGCAGAAAACATGCCATTAAAGGGGATAAACCCTAGGAAAATTATTAAGAGGAATTTACGGGTTCTCACAGTAAGGGTGCTATCATAAGTGCTTTTGAAATGAACCACCAATTTAGCCTCAAATAAGGATACAAAAGATAAAAAGTGTTTAGATGGTAGAAACAATGACCAAAGCATCATTCTTATTTCTCATGACAACCAAAGTAAACAATAGCCTGTTGGAAAAATCCATTTCCTTTTGACATTTAAAAATTTTTCTATGTAGGGTCATGATCATTGAGGCTTTTATTTGAAACGAAATTCTATTTTTTAAAGTCTCAAATGAAAAAATAAATGATAAAATCTGTATAGATAGATAAACGAAAGCCTAAAGTATCATTCCAAATTTTCAAAACAAATAAGAAGTAATGTACATTTTTGCCATTCAGATGTGGATTGAATCTGGTTAGACACATTGGACATTTTCACGGTAAAAATTGTCTCACTTTGAAGCTAATCAACCAATGCGACTGACCTTGGAGGTTCAATAGAAATGGACAAAAAAATGAAAAAGAAAAGTGTCGGGGTTGATTTTTTATGACAAACTATCAAATTTGAGTGACCCCTTTTATTTTCGACTACTCTCATTGAATAGTTTAGACAACAAATTTAGTGTATACAAAGATTTTTGGAAATTGGACATGCACTCATGAATTTTCAAATAAGAGGTCAAAAAATCTCAATTTAGTCTTATTTCTTAAAATTCATCATGAAATTTCCCAATGAACAAATAAAGAATGAATATATACAAAACAATAATTATCTAAATAAAAAAATTTATTATTCAAATGTTTGAAATTTTTTTTGTACTCAAATATAATACATATGAGAAAAGTAAAACCTCTAAAGAATACATTTATATATATATATACACTTTCTTTCTATCTGTTGAGACAAAATGTATTAGAAACAATGAATCAAGAGATTTTTTAAATACTTTAGACTAGCATTTTCAGATGGATTTGTCATTCTTTTCATTATAGGATCTATCTAAAAATCAAGTAACACTTGTAATTTTCAAAATTTATCAGATCAAAAATATTATTAGATATAGAAAAAATATTTTTTTACCTTATTGAAACATCTTTTTATAAATGTGGAGGGGGAAAAAATAAAAGAAAAAATATCCAGAATGAATAAGCAAAACTGTGAAATCGATATGCATGTCCTATGGGGGAGCCCTTTTATGCCAAGGATTGGCCTAACATTGCAATCTTCTAGTATAGGCACCATACAATATCTGATGGATCCGATCGACTTATTGAGATTCAAATAAAAGACAATTTTGAAAAATTTGGCTAATTGGAGTGACAAAAGACAATTTGTCCTAAGAAAATAAGGACAAAGTCCGAATGGACTGATTGCTTTGATTGACACATAAAGTGATATTAAAAATCAATTTAGTGTGAAAAACTTTTTTTTGAAAGAATTGAAATGTCTCGACTAGTTTCTTTGGTAAACCATAGATTGAAACTTTAAAAGAGAATAAAACGGATTAAATGGATCGAATGGAATTGATGATTAGTTTAAAAATTGACTGGATTATCCTAAAAGTGAATAAAACTGATCAAATGGATTGGGTAAAATTGAAGATTTATTCAAAAAAAAATTGACTAAATGAATAATGAATTGGATGGAATTGATAATTTATTCAAAATTGATTGTATTGTCCTAAAAATGAATAAATTGAATAAAATTGACGATTTATTCAAAAAATGACTGGATTGCTCCCCCATTTGTAGTTTCAAAACTCACAAAATTTGTTGCAATGTATTAGTCCATGAGCCTTCTAAAATCAAGATTTGATCTCGATATATTTATTATCTCAACAATCAGGAATTATTTGTGAATTTCTTCAATTTAATGTCCTTTATGCAAGGAATTTTACCAACTTTGACAAAATGGCCAAAAAATTATTATTAAAGCCTCATATTCTAATGCGCAAAAACTGTTCCATCATTTTCAATGTCGTCATCGTGGAAGGGATCAGATCCTACCTTACCTTGTGCACTACCCATTTGAATGGTACAAAAATATAAACGTGCAAGTTTCATTGGATTACATATCCGAGACACAAAGTAGCTTACCCCTAATGTGGGATTCCCTAAGTGGCATTCCCTCTAAGATTAATGCATGATGATAATTTATTAAAGCGGATAAATATGCAATACGATAATTGAAATATGATCTAAGTGTGCCCCATTTTGATGTCGGGGTAAGTCTAAAATGACATGCATATATATATATACATAATATTAATGCGATAAACTGAAATTTAAACGTGCTATTTACAAAAAAAGGTCTACCCTAAGTGAGTACCACGCCAGGACTCTTGTTTCTAGGGTTTATGAATGCAATATAAGAAAATAAATCAATGATTAGTTTAATAAACAACACATAATAGATTGGAGCAACAAAATAATACAGAAATATAAGATAAAGAAAAGAAAGGGGTAGAATCCGTCCCCTCGTGTCTAGTGTTCTTAATAGGGTAGATGAAGGCTCTATCTTAGGTGATTTCTAAATGAATGCATAAGGATTAGTTCACTAATGCATCTAGACTCGAAAAGGTTTCAGATCCTCAAGCCTTCAGACAAAAGGATGAAGGGTCATCAATTCCAAAGCCTTTAGTTGGTGGCTTGAGTGATCTCCCAAACATTGCTACGTGCATGTCGTGCCACGGCCACATATCCAAGTGGATTCATCCTAATCCTAACAGGAAGGAGCGGTGTGAAAACCACTAAAAGAAAATAAGATAAAGGGTTAAAAGGAATAACGTATGCACGTTTGAAGTGCTCCTTTGACGGGAGGGAGTAATACCATTAAATATGCATGAAGGCACTAGGGCAATCTCGCTCCCCATCCCCAAATGCAAAACGAGATACGAATAAGTAAATAAATAAAAGTAAATAGACAAACCATTCATCACATACACCAAAAACGAGAAACGAATACGAGTGTGGAATGCAAAACATCCTAAAAAAAATGCAACCTGAAACATCCAAAT